TGATCATTTCTCCATGCTTTCCTAATTAAAGTCTTATACAGGAGAGATCTTCCACACTGTGAACTTACAAACAACATCTGTGGATTCATGAAGACTTAATTGGCAGATAGCTTGACCAGAGTTATTTTTGGATCATAAAGCTTAATAATGTACAAATATCCATTATTGAATTCATGATTATACAAAAATTAATGTTCCTTTATCTGTCTTTCATTCAGGTTTGTTCAGTTGATTGAGGCTGAACTTCATTCTATTTCTGGTGGCCCAGGTATGTTCTACATATTTATTTTCCAAGTGCAGAAAATCCCAGTGCTAATTTACTCTACCGATGAGATCACATTCATGGATGATCATTTTGCAAGAGTACTGATAAGGCGAGGCAGTACTACTACTAAACTACAAAGTACTTTAATTCTGGACCACCCAGACATGTTTGAGTTTCTTGAGTGCCCATCAATGACAAGGAGTATGCCATGGAGAGGGATGTGAAAAAGCAGTAGTCCATTGCTAAGAAATATGTTTAACATAGTGACTCTATGAGATAGTATTCTAACAACAATCTAGAGAATAAAGATAGAAATATTTTTGTTTGGTTCACTATTACATAAATTATTTGTTTCACCATTCAAAACCATGAAGAATACAAGTAAAGTCCTTTCAGTCATCAAGCAAAAGCAAGTCTTCAACCCTGTAGGGCTGGCAGTCAGTGATGTCAGCTGCAGCCATGGATGCAATGTTCTTCCTGTTTAGACTCTCTTACCAGTGCTGTGGAGAGTCTGTTTTCCTGATTTTTGGTCATGTCCTTCCAATGCAGATAAACTCAGAAGAAATTCTGAGGACTTATAAGTTTATGCAGTCACTATGAGAAATGTAGGCACTCTTTGATACCATATACTTTATTGTCCATGAGAAAAATAGCAGTTTTAGTACTTTGTCAGGGACAAAGGTACATAGTGCTGTGTATATTTCTCAAGAGTCCTGTAGCTTACAGTTTTCAAAGTAGAATTACTCTGGAGAAAAATTAACAATGGAACATATTATATATTGGAAAGTTTTATAAATTTGTTTCAGTTTTTGCAGTATACATTGTATTGTTTATATTCCATTTGCCAATTGAACTAGTATGCTCTCAGAAGATCAACTCATTGATTTCTAGCTTTGTACACTTATGTGTGCAGATATTCTGTGCACACTAAAACCTAACCAGAAGAAATTGTCAAAATGTACAACTATTTCATTTACCCAGAACCTTTCTCAATGGAACAGAATCTTAGAATATTTCCCTTTATATTTCTAGAAAAAAAAGTCTCAAAGAGACATAATGATGGATCCATTTGGGAAGAATTGACCTAAAATTCACATTAAAATGGAACAAATACCAGTATATAAGGAAATACTGCACAGATAGCAAATCAAGGACAATAGCCGTGGGTTCTCAAGGAATGCTCATAACTAAATTACAACTTCTAATCCAGATCACCTGGGCTTAAAAAAAATCTTTCCAAGTTTAGTTTTGTGAATGCACTAATAGGAGATTCTATTTTAAACATTCATTTCTCTAACTAATACTTGCATGCCCCTAATGCAAAATACAAGCATGGAAAGAGGTGGCACTGGTTCTCTGAGATTTGTAGATGTGAGAACTCCAGTAATATACTTGCTTACATAAAAATAAGACCCAAGTTTGAGGCTCATTTTGAAGGACATATACAAGAGAAGGAAAGAGCCTTTGTCCACAGGAAAGTCCAGTGATCAGTAATAGCACACTGAATATAGGAAAGATATTTGGTTCAAACATTTAAAGAATCATGATTTTCCAGTCATGCATTTCAACAAATTGTGTTTATCTGCTGATTGAGTCATGTTTTCCTTTATCCTCTAGATGGATTTGTTTTCATCCATTTTTCAACTTGTTTTGGAACCTTATGTGAAAAGGGAAAACTGGTTACAGATCCAAAGCAAAGTTTAGATCCATTTAGAAGGGAATCCATAAGTTACAGTTTAAGGTAGGTGTTGGGACTTACTAAAGGTACCCTTGGTGTATAGGTAAAGAAGTGGAATGTTAAGACTGAGGGGAACACATGGATGAAAGCTATCAGTTTCTTTCAAACTTCCTTTTGTTTTTTTTGCTATTCTACATATGGCTAAACTCCAGTCTGAAATTGAAGACTCATAGTTCTGTTAATATCAGAATGCACTAGCACAGACTTATCCTTTCCCAAATAATCATTCATACATCATCTACATATTCATTTCATTTGTATATCAAACAGCAATAAACTCAAGGCACAACCTCATGCATTACATATATATGTGTGTGTACTATTGTAACCAAATAAAAAATGTGGCTGTGATGATATGAGAATGACCAGATTTGAGCAATAGGATAATCATGATAAAGAGTAGTTTCTTATGAAGTATATATACTGCTCACACATTTGTCCGACTGGGAAAGCCAGGCAAGCTATCACCTTGTTCATTACAGTTCTATTTACCATGACCAAGGAAATTCGAAAGCCACTAACTTCAGTGGTCACTCCCAGCTATTTCTTGTTCCTGTCCCAGAAAAGCTTTCTGCACCACAATTTCTTCATGGCATTCTTGACTTCTGCATTCCGGAGAGTATAAATCATAGGATTTAACATAGGAGTGACAATAGTGTAAAACACAGCCACCATCTTATCATCTGAAAAGGTAACATCCGGGCGCATATAGGTAAAAGTACAGGGAACAAAGAAGATGATGACCACAGCAATATGGGCACCACACGTAGAGAGAGCTTTGCGCCTACCTTCTGCTGACCTCTTCCTCAGAGACACCAGAATAACAGTGTAGGAGATCAGCAAGATGACAAAACTCCCCAGACTGATGGTACCACTGTTGGCTGTCACAACACCACTAATGATGTGTGTGTCTGTGCAGGCAAGTTTCAGCACAGGATGGATATCACAAAAGTAGTGATTGATCTCATTGGGTCCACAAAAGGGGAGTCGGACAATCAGAGATACTGGGATCATGGCATGCAAGAACGAACCCACCCAGGTGCCAAGCAAGATTTTATTACATCTCTCCTGGTCCATGATGGTCATATAGTGTAGCGGTTTACAGATGGCCACGTATCGGTCATAAGCCATGACAACAAGGATGAAGATCTCTGTGCATCCAAAGAAATGTACCCCAAAGAGTTGCAATATGCATCCTGCATAGGAAATTCTTTTTATCTTTGCAAAGAGATCAAAAACCAGCTTCGGTGCTGTAACTGATGAATAACAAATGTCCACAAAAGACAGGCAATTGAGGAAGAAATACATGGGTGACTTCCAAAGATTGCCCATGTAAATTGTCAGCATGATGAGCAGGTTTCCTAGAAGAATGATTGTATAAAAGAAGGAGAATACCACTAGACACACTTCTGCAGCCACAGGGTCTTGAGTAAGGCCCCAGAAAATGATTTCTGTCACATTGTTTACCTTGTCCATGGAATGAGTGTAGAATCCTTGATAACAATTGAATTTCCTGCAAGATAAACACCACAAAGACAATTGTCCTTTATTTTAGTTTCCGAGTATATGAATGGAATCCTATAAAATATGTATACACATATATGAATTAAGGAGAATGCAATTATGTCACTTGTAAGGGAATGGATGGATCTGGAGGAATTCTGATTAAGACACATATCTAGACATTTCCTAAACTTTTCACTGATATGTATATATATATATATATATATATATATATATATATATATACACACACACACACACACACATATATATATATATATCCCTATAGTTGTAGTTATCATGTAGATAAAAACCAATCCCCTAGAGTTCCATCTATAAAATTTACACATCCTATGCTATGTAATTCTTGTACTCTAACCTAGTCTTTTTCACCAACATTTTATTGATTTTTTCCAGTTTAGAAAAGCTACAGTTTTCTGTATATATTTTTTGTTATAAAAATACTGTACAGAGAAGTTACAGTTACATGAGTGAGGTAATGAGTATATTTCCTATCCAGCATTGTTACCTCCTGCTTTGTTTTTCCCCTACCATCCCTACCATCCCCCCTTCCCCAACTCCTCTCTCCTCTCCCACCCCCTGCCCTCCATCCTCCCTGGGCCCTGAGTTGTAAACTTCATTTTCAACATAGTGTCTTGTACATCTCACTGTTACAATGGGTCAAACTGTATCCTTATTTCAGCATTTTGTTATTTCCTTTCCCCTCCCCAAATTAGAAAAATTTATATACAAGATGCAGGGCACTGGAATCAAATACAGGGAAAACAGAGGGGAAGAACATATACAAGGGGGAGAGGGGAAGAACATACAAAAGAAACAAAAAAACCACATGGTACATTATAAACACATTAAAAACAATAGCAAGAAAGATAAAACCACTTGTGTCCCTATCTTGGGGTTTATTTCGCTTAGCATCATCGTATATAGTTACATGTGCATAGCTTTTGACCTTTTCTGCTTGTCCTAGACATATACAATTTATTGCAAATAAGGGAAACCATGGGACCTAAAAAGAAATGTAAAACATTTGGGGGCACTAAAAAGTCCCTATAATTCAGAATTCTATGTACTACTTTACCCTATTTTTAAAAAAGTTTTTCTCATATAAACTACTTCAAAGAGTTGTTTTGGTTAATTTACACAACACAAATAAAATGTGACCTAAATCTTGAGAAAATAAAGCTACAGCTTTCATCTGATTTCTAAGTTACAATGCTCAGAATAGCCATTATGTGTACTTTTCTCATGTCTTAAAAGAAATAATGACAACAATAATAATGGTCTTTGTTTCAACAACAATAATATAAACATTCAGAAGCTGACATACTGGAAGTGGAGTTGTGGCTCAAGTAAAGAGTGCTTGCTTTGAGTTGAAGAGCTTGGGGACAGCACCCAGGCCCAGAAATTGAGCCCCAGGACCGACAAAACAAACAAACAAAAAATACAAACAAACCAGAATCTGACCTATGCTCTTTCTTTTATATGCCCCTTACCCTTTTACTTCTGACAACAGAAAATACTGAAAATGCCCTTCAGTTTAAGAGCACTCCTTTCATAACAGTATTGAATAAGTGTGCATTTTGTTGCCAACTCCATTTTAGAATAAGTTGATACCTACACATGAGCCCAGGATCTGTTGCTCAAGTATCCAGACAACAAATGTGAAGCAGAATGCTCTTAACTCACCTATCAAAGACATACTTCT